GAAAGGCTGCAGCTCCTGCCAGGCTGTGAAGGCAGGAGAGCCTGGCCCAGCTGCCCTCCCCAAACCTGGCAGGACCAGCTGTGTTCGATTGTGTTGAACTGATCCTTACCCTCAAGTTCAGCGTGGCAGCTGAAGTTCACATCGTCACACTGGCCCTGGAGAGTCCCTGATTTTTCAAAGTGATATGTCCCTCGGTCACAGGAGGAAGGGGACACCTGGTTGCATGAACGTGCTACTGACTGCCCAACATCCCATTTCTACAACATTTCTGAGGTGCAGATGGGGGTTGCTTGGTGTCAGCCTTGGGAGTTGGCACAGTTCAGAGCCTGAAGTTCATGGCTGAGAGGTTCTCCATCCCCTGTGGATCTCCTCTCCTCGTCTGGCACACACAGAAGGACTAGAGTCTCTGTTCTTACTTTTGATACTGCCACCACCACCACCTCCTCATGTTCTCTGCAGGGTCTTCCTCACCTTTGGTAGCTCAGGAGGCAGGGAGTGAACAGCATGAAATGGCAGCTAGGGGAGATAAGTTTTGATCTGTGACACCAGTGACGCTTCATGTGGCTTTCTTCTCCCAGCCTGCCCAGTCCTTACTTTCCTGGGAGCAGCTCTGGTGTGGCTTTTGCTGTGGCTTGGAGATTCAGCATCAGATGCTGCTGATGACCCTTTCCATAAAGCTGCAGGTCTTCCATGGTGCTTCTCGGTGAGGTGGTTACTGTTTTGCTAAAGGGGGAAAAAAATGAAGCTGCCTGCTGGTTTTGAGCTCAGGGTAATGTGCTGGATGGAAGAAGAAGGGGATCCTAGGCTAGCAGGTTATCAGAGGAGGAGAGCACTGCTGGGGCTTCTCAAGTGGAAAGTCTTTCCTGCTCCACCTGCTCCCTTCAGCCAGCAGGAGAGGGCCCCCTTTCTTTCTCCCACACTTCTCTTTGAGTCCCAAAGCCCTTCAGGGATGGCTTTCTTTTCAAAGTTCCTCCTGGGCAAACACAGGTCTCCCTACCATCCCCTTACACACTCAAGCACAACCTTTCATTCCAAGACGGGTCAGTTTGATACCAGGCAGCTTCCTGGGTGTCCCAGAGCCCAGGAGAAGCAAGGCAGTGTCCCCTCTGCACAAACACCCAGGACCCTGCAGCACTTGTCACAGGAACAGGGGCTTTCTCTAGGGGTCTGCAGCCACAGGCTCTCATGTCTGAGAGCCTGGCCCCATCCTGCTGGATTGCCAGCATCCTGATTTGATCTGTTTAAAAGTATTGATGATGTCTTGAATGTGTCTCTGCCTTTGGTTTGGTGCTGCCAGTTTTACCCTCCCTCCCACGTGGTGCTGGCTGTTTCTCAGAGGCTCAAGTCTGCAGGGTTTCCCACCGTACATCGGAGCAGAGCTTGGAGGAGCTGAAGATCACAGTGCTCCCGTCACCCACCCACAGCTTTCCTGTGGGTCCAGCTCCATTCAGACACCACTCCCAGCTTCCTTTAGATGCCATTTCAGGGGGAAAAAGAGCCAGCAAATGCTGGAAGTCAACTCTGCTGAAGCCCCCTGACCTGCGTGGTGGTGAAAGAAGAGGTCTGGGATGGAGGAGGACACTTTGGGGGACATGCTCACCCCTCGTTAGCTCTGATTCTCTGATAAAGCAGTGCCCATGCTTTTGCTTGATAAGGATATACCAAGTAATATGCCTGCCTTATACTTTTATTTAAGTGAGATGTATTGCCTCTGGCATGTCTTCCTTCTCCCATTGTACAGCATAGGGATATGGACCTGACTTCAGTTTTCCATGAGTTGGGTTTTTTGAAAGGGAGAAAGAAGGTCAATAAATAATGAATACTTTTGGCTGGATCTTGCCTACTGGTTTGTTTTCTCTAGCTCCCTGTTTTGGGTGAGTTTGGCCATTGGTTTTCCCAGCAGTACAGCCAGTTGCGCTCTTCATGCTGACTTGATCTTGGGGCTGTTTCGAAATGACACCAGTAACATCTTTTTGTTTTGTTTTGTTTATTACATAATTTAAACATTTTGCTGATAAAGTTTTTTTTTGTCAATGACCATTTTTTTCATATAGCAACAGAAGAAAAAAAAAATTAGGCTCCAAAACTTTTGACAAAGGTGAAATTAGTGGCATGGCAACTTCAACCCCTTCCCCTCCCCACCCCCCCCTTTTTTTTTCCCCAAAAGGCATTTGAAGTTCATTTCTCTTTCAGCAAATTGCACTGTTTAAAAGTGGAGGTTCAAAGACCAAAACCCACGAGCTTCTTCCCACCCCTCCCCTGCATCCTGGAAACCCCAGTCCTCACCTCCCTGGTGGTCACGTGGATCTTCAGGGATGTTTATTTTTTTTCTCCATACCCACCCAAAGACATTTTCCAAACTGGTCCCAGAGCTGAATGACCTGTTACAAACCCCCCATCCCACCCCCCCTGTACTGTGAGTTTTACTGAGCAGATACACAAAGGCGCAGGTAAGACTAGTAAAACAGAATATACTCATCATCCGTACCACAACTCTACGTCTCTAAGGCATGCCGTCCTAACTGCAATGGGATGGGAAGCCGTCTGGCTTCCCCTGTGTCCCATCTTGCGTACCTGAGGGAGGGAGGGAGGATCTGAGATGGCTCTCGGACACACTGCCTGCCTTCCTTCTCTATCTCCTTTGTTTTATTTCCCTGTGTCTCTTCCTCACTTAAAACCCACTGTCCTTCCTCCCCCTTCAAAGAGGCATTGCTCCCCCAGGAGGTTAAAATCCTGCTCTACGTGTGTGTATGTGTTTTGGAGGCTGGTCGCTACCATTGCTTTTTCTCCTCCGGCTTGGAGCTAAGAAACATGGGTGACGTCTGGCAAGGAAAGGAGGCTGCTCTCTGAAATAACTTCTGTGTTAGGGAGGAGAGACTGAAAAACTGAACATGTGAGAACAACAGGTGGAGAGGACTCTAGCTGCTGGCTTATGTATGTTGAGTGTCTCATGGATGAGATGTCCCACCATAGGCACCTGCCCAGCGTGTTAGCTAAGGGAGCTCAGTAGGATGCTTGTGAGCAGCTCGAACTGGCTGAAGACTTCCCTGGAGAAGAGGCATCCCTGCACTCCAAGTCCCTCACACTCTTGCCACCCTCTCTGCTTTGGTGTCTGCGTATCTCCTCACCCCACGGGATACGTATGCAACTGCCTGGAGATACCAGACCTGGCACTGAGGGATTCAGCTGCCCAATTTACAACAGTTCCTGAACAAGCCTCTCTGTGCGGAGGGAAATCCCTGGCAAGAAAAGACGTCTTCTGGCCTTTGGGCATGTCACATCACTTCTGTCTCTCTTGCTTTCCCTTCTGGGAAGAGCTGTGCCCTCCTTGAGAAGTTGTTAGCTACTGCTCATAAAACACTGCCTGCTGCAAGGAGCCTGTGGCTGTAGGCTACCTTGTTTTGTGTGAAGTTGCTTGCTGTTATAGAGATGCCAGCAGCATCCAGCAGGTCACCAAATTTAGTGCAATCTCTCATCTTTGGAGCTTCCATGAGAGCAGCTTGTGACCCTTTGTAGACTTTTAAGGGGATGGGATGTGGGGGGGTGTAATTTCAGGTAATTTCAGATCTTTCCCTGAAACACCCTGGAGCACTCCCAGCCCTTGGGTGTCTCAACACAACACTGTCCCTTGCTGGAGACCAGCAGCTAGTCACAGCGCTGCCCTAGGAAAGCCACAAAGCCAGCATGGGTAATGGTCGTGCTTTGGGAGACTGTGGTGGTGTGGCTTAGCCTCAGCCTAGTTAGCCCAAATTTATGGGGAGTGGGCAGATGTCCAGGAGCTATAGGCAGCAGGGCTATATCCAAAGCAATACAAGGTTAGATGGAGCAAAGGGAGAGGAAAAGGTGAGGAGTAAAGCAGGACTGTACCTTCTTCCTTGCGGCTGTGATCTTTCCCAGGGGCTGTGCCTGGTCCTTGCACCCTAGAGATGCTCAGCAGGACAACAGCCTGCTTCAGCAACACTCCTCTCTGCAGGGCTTAAATAATTTTCTTTTGCTCCTTGTTACCTGCCCTGATTTTAATGCGAGCATCCCTACTAGGCTCCATCCCCAGCATTTGGGAGCATGTCACAGGGAGGAGAGCAGAAGCCTGGCATGTCCCAAGGGATGTGCAAAGTAGCCACAGCTGGTTTGGGAGGGGGAAAGTATCATGCATTTAATAAACTCTTCAAGGAACGGAAGAGGGTAGGAGTGGAGAGAGAAGGGGTAAGTTTACAGACAGAAATGGAGATCTGGAGGCTAGAGGATGGGGATGGACCCAGCCTCCACAAAGCTCAGCTGGGTTTGGGGCAAATTCTCACCAGAGCCTTTGGGTCACCACCTGCTTGCTTCTTCCTCGCTTGTTTCTTGGCTTCATAAATGGCAGGTCCCTTTCTAGGTGCAGTGGGGTGCCCTCTCTGACACTGGGTCTGAGTAGAGCATCACCCCAACTCCACTTGCCTTGGGGTGGGTTGGGTTCACTTGCAGCCAAGGAAAGGTAAGACATGACATCGTCCCCTAGTAATGCTTTGGCAGCAATGCTTGCCAAGGCCTCTGTTCCCCTTCAGAAATGCCCTCTCCGTGATTTTTCAGGGCCAGAAGGAGGATTTTGTTAGCTGGCTTGTCCTACTGCTGGCCTGAAGTGGTACACCTGCCATGGGGCACTGAGCCAGTTGGGTTGCAACTGCCCGCTGCCAGCCAGGATTCATTTGGTCATCGTGTTGAGAGGCCCAGAGGGCTTGCACTAAAACTATTTAAGAAAAAAAAGTCCACCTAGATTTACTGAGCTTAAGTACTGTAAGATGATGCAGAAGAGGAAGCCCCTGCTCTGAGCATGCTGGGAGGATGGACCGGGGGGACCATTTCCCAGTGACATGCTGGGAGGGGGGTGCCAGAGCTGCCTCCCCTCGAGTGCACCAAGCACATCGCTCTTTTATTGGTCCCCCCTCCCTCCCCGCATATGAGGGGGAGGGCAGTTCCCTGAAAAAAGAGACCAAACCATTCCCTTCGGGGCTGTGCTGCAGTTCCCTGGACATTGCTGCACAATGGAGCATTGGCGCCGGGCGAGAGAGGCAGACACGAGCAGGAGGCCATGGGGTGGGGAGACAGATGGAGACACGGACTGAGAGAGAGAGAAAAGAGTGATGGAGAGCTGTAGGCAGGCGGGACACGAGGGCTGTCTCGCTGCAAGACCTCTGGCACTTAGCCGGAGGCGTTGATGTAGAGCTGGCTCTTGAGGATGTAGTCAATGACAGGCTGGCAGAGGTAATCCACAACGTGTCCGTCTCCATGCTGCAGGGCCAGTCTGGGGGTGTTGGGGGAGAGAAGGGGGTCAGAGCCCATTTGGGTGGGTCAGGTACCCCTGCAAATGGAGGGGCTGGCTGGGGGCACCCCTCTCCCCGCTCCGTAGTGGGAGTCCCCCTACATCACCCACCTGCTTTTGGTGGAGCTGACGACTGACATGGGGTGGTTTGAGTCGTCCTTCACCACCAGGATGTTGTTCTGCAGGGGAAGAAGGAAGAGAGGAGTGAAGGGATGGTCTAAAAGCGGGTGTCTGCCCTGCCAGCCCCCCCACCCCACTGGCCTCAGGGGACTGCTCCATGGTGGCCCTATTGCTGATCCCACCTAGCAGCTGAGAGCATCTGGCCTTGAGATATCTTGTGCCCTGTGGCAGAAGTGCTCGCCTGGGTAAAGAGAGGCTGCAGGTCGTCTCACAGCCTTCCCTGGCCACACATGTATTCACTTACTTTGTACTTGCGGAGTATGGAGGAGTGGTTCATGATCCGGTCGGGGTCTGCTCCATCCCGGGGCACCACCACGATCCCAAACTCCCCGACGATCACCTCCATCTAGGAGCAAGCCAAAGCAGGGAGAGCTTTATAGCCACCCCATGCAAAACCTGCCACTGTCTGCTGACCCCTCTGCACCATGAAAGCTGGGCCATGGTCTGGATGGAGACAGAAAGTGAATTTGAGGCTCTCTCAACAGCCTTTGGCAGAAACTTGGAATTAAGGCATGGTGAGTTGGTCTGCAGTGGATGAAGTAAAAACGCACAGAGTTAAATCCTATTATGAGACGTTGAGGTTAGGCTTTAGGGAGGACTTGTCATGGTAGAAGGACCTTGGTGGCAGAAGAGATTGCCCAAGGAGAACATGACCTCTGCCTCGCTGGAAGGGTTTATAAGCAGGATGGACGTGTTGGTCCTGACAGAGGTCTTGTAGGGTTGTTCTTGCAAAGTTGTTTGCACCAAGGCCGGTGGCCAAGTTTGCCACTGCGGGGGGAGAGCTCCCGCTGCTCACGCCTGTCTCAGGTGAGACAAAGGAGGCTCATCTGAAAGAGCTCTGGGTCAGCAAATTCAGGCAGCAGGAGCCTGTGAGGTGGTGCTGGGGCAGAATGCCTCTTCTGCCTGTGCTTTGACATCCAATTTTTGCATCCTTTCTGCTGGGCTTCAAGACTTGCCTCATCTCAGGTTTTGCAGCCTTTCAGAGGAGATATCTGCCAGCTAAGTTTTAAAAAAACCTTAGGATTGAAGATGCGGTAACTGATTTTAGAAATAGTTGAGAGGCTCACGGCGGAGGGAATGGGGGGATTGTGTTGACCACCCAATTTCAGTGAAGAGCCACAGCCAACACAACTCTGACTGCTGGGAGGAGCATGCGGGTCAGTACCCCAGCCGTTCTCTAGGGCTGATGTCCTCCCATGAAAATATGGCTTCTTCAGGTGGTGACCGCAGTGTCCAGGGTGCTGGGTGTCCTGCTGCAGTCCTTCACTAAGGGGGCTGGGGGGGCACAGAGGGGTGGGCAGTGGATTTCGTCCATTTGAGTTGTGTCAGTGAAGGTGCTGAGATGGGCTCATGTCAGCTGTGAGTTGGTGTGAGGCATCATCTGCCTGAGAAGTCAAGATGGTTTTATTTCTTGGCCTTTATAAAGATGGGTACTTGGGTACCCTGCATTGCAGAAAAAGCCTTTTATTAAGTAAAAGCTGTTGATTTGGTTGTAAACGTGTTTAATTTCTGAGGTCTGGCCAACTTTTGTAAATACCTTATTTCCTGTACCTCCACACTTCACTCTGCTGAGACTGGCATCTACTTGATGCTGGCTCCTTCTAAGGGACAAGGAGTGGGAGTGCAGCCTTTGAAAATCCCTTGGGATGGGCTTACCCTGCACCCCAGGTGAAGTCCTCTGCGTGAACGGTGAGTGGGACCAGGGCTTGGGTCTGTGGAAGGGGAAGCTGGGTAGGGTTGGTGACCCTGGAGCAGAAGACCCTGTCCCTCAGGCTGCCCTTGGGTAGGGGAGGTGGGGGTCAGGGTTGGGATGGAGGAGGCAGTGGGGATGGTTAGCACAGTTCCTGCCATTCCAAGGGACCTGAGTGGCTCCCAGGAGTGCTGGGTGTGGGAAGCAGAGGAGGAGGAAGGGAGCCTGGGGAAGAGGAGCATGGAGGGGTGCCCAGTGGTGGTGACTCACGTCTGCTTCATTCCAGAGACCAGGGATGCAGAAGGACTCCAGCAGGTCGCTGCCACAGAGCAGTAAGATGCGAAGCTCTGAAGAAAAGAAACACAGAAGCTCAGAGGTGGGAGCAAACAGGGCTGAGCAGGCACTGTCCCTGCCTCCTGCCATCCCATTGCACTGCTCAGGGGGATCCTTTTCTGCACAGACCTCTCCTGCCAAAGCAAGTCCTGCTAAAGATCCCGTGGTCCTTCTCACATCTCTACTGGTGCCAAACATCAAATACCCCCCACCCTACTTTATTTCAGCTCCTCTCCTGTGCTGCTGGGTTATTGTCAACATTGCTACGTGCTGTTCAACTATGGCTGTGCTCCAGCATTGGAGGTGGGGTATCCCTGGGGAAGGGAGTAGTTTCTCCATGCTATGGGCACCGACAATCGCTTCGTGATCTGCTGCAGGGGCTCCAGCCATGGGGCAACGGGGAAAGCCCAGGGGACTGCTCAGAGCCCTGGGCATGGCCATGTTTGCTTTAGCAAAGCTGCTGGTGTGGGTTGCTCATCTTGGAGGACTTCCATGTCCTCCCTTCCTCTCCCCAGGCTGGGACTGGTGCTTGCTGACAACTTGCTTTGAGAGTTGGCTTTGCTGCTCAGCAAGAAAGTTGTGCTGCAGAAAGGAGCTTTCTGCTCCAATGGGCCCATAAAGATTAATTTATTTGCACAATCACCAGAGGAAAGCCATAAACCCGCCCTGAGGGGTGGGAAGAGGTGGCTGCATGGGAAGGTGTCTCCCTGGTTGGCATTTCCAGGTGGCCAAAGCCTTTGGGCTCTGCATGGTGCCAGTGCTAGGATGGGTGTTGTGCTAGGCTGTGTGTGAGCTAGCCCATGAAATGGATCTCAGAAACACCAGCAAGCTCCCCATGCAGAGCCCTGGGTGATGTACCGTGGTGCCAAGTGTGTGGCAGCCCAGTGGGTCTCAAACCCCTAAAGGGTTTTAGAGAAAGGGGCACCGTGGCTGGTTGGGCAGCTGAAATGCCTCCTGCTGCCACACGCAAAGCTCTGCAGGGCTGCAGACAATGCGAGCATGTGGGTGACACCACCACGAGAGGGCAAATTTGGTGGCACTTCGGGTGGCTTTTAAGGCATGATGCCATGGCAGGTCTGTGCCAGTGCTGGGAGCCGGGTCCCCGCTGCTCACTCCCTTATTTCAGGCTGTTTGTCTGCCAATAGGAATGGGCTCAGGCCAGTTTAGCGCTGCTCCTGTTTCACTCCTGAGCCTTGATAGCTGGCACCAGGGTGAGATGATCCAGCATCCTTTGCTCGCCACCAGATCTGTTGTGCAGCTGCTCCCCAGCCACATAGCGCTGGCCCAGAGGAGCCAGAGTGACATGGAGGGGGCTGCATACTCACCGATCTCCTCGTATCTCATCACCGTCCCCAAGTTGGCGTTTTCATCTGGGGAAGGGAAGCAAAAGAGAGGTGCTGGTGTGTGGCCTAGAAGAGGGGGCTGGAAGGAAGGCTGGGGGCTGGAGCTAAAGCAGAGGTGATGCTGGACCTTTCCTCTACATACCCACAAAGGTGAAGCGCTCCATGGGTGGGCGAACGCAGCAAATCCGGCTCAGGCTTTCTCCCACCTTCCCCAGGATCTTTGCTAAAGGTGAAGAAGAAAAAAATTGATGGGAGAGAGGCTGTGCGACCAATGCACACAGGAACTTTGGCCACCCTGGTCCTGAGACATACTCCTGTGCCCACGTGTGGGAACTGCTCTCAGCATCTCCCCACCACCTCCTTTCATGGTCTTAACTCCCAAGAGCGCTATGCTGTGCCTTGAAGGGACCAGCTGGACAGCTAAAATCACTAAAAAGAAATCACAAGATGTTCATTTTTATGGGATTTAAGTAATGTCCCATCTTCTCCCCAGCTAATACCTCCGGTTCCCACATCCCACTGGCTTGTGAGAGATCCAGCCACGTCACTGCTCCTGCTAGTTCATCCCTTGCATGCACCCCATGGGTACCAAGTAGGCTTTCTCTTAGCTGATCTCACTGCCTGAACATCATCCAGCTGAAGTCCAGTGAGATTTCACAGCCACTTTAAGCTGTTCTTGGCTCCCCTTGCTGTGCTGGATGCTAACTAACTCCTCCATTGCATCCCCACCTGACCCTGGCCTTGGTGCATGGAGCCTGATGAGCGACCTGACCCAAAAGTAAGATGATGGAGCACTGTTCCTAATGCTTGGCAGCCCTGGCTGGGAGGTGAGTGGTGGATAGTCATCGACCTTCCCTTACCCGCAGTGGGCTTGTTGGAGACATTATTGTTGTTCTGGTAGATGGTCTGCGAGGACTCGTTCTGGGGCTGGCTGATCACAGGAGTGATGGAGGGCGTGTTGACATTGGAGAGGATGCAGCCAGTCACTCTCTGCAATGAGGGAGAGATGTAGCTGGAACAGTGCCTTCACTCCAGCTACCTCCTAAAACCTTTACAACCCCCCATATCGAGCCTCCACACCCCAGGCTGAAGGTTATTTTCAGTGACAGTATGTCCAAGCTCACTTTAGGATCTCCTGTCCCATCCAACCTCACTGGATGGGCCTGGGGCTAGCAGGAGGCTGTGGATAATGATTCTTGATTAAGGCTGGGAATGGTGGGATTAACTTTTTGTGTGGACCCATGAGGCTGGCAAGGCTGCAGCTGTGCTGCCTGCAGGAAGGCATCATCCCCATTGCCTGGAGGTGCTCATAAATTCTGATGACTAAATAAAAATACAGCAGCTGATGAATCAGCTGTGCAAAGCCAGCAGCTTACACATAACCCTGGAAGGAAATGTGCCCTCTTGTCCTCCACCGGTCCCTGCAGGAGAAGGCAGGCAGCTCCAGGGGCTCTCTGGCTTCGACACCATAGTCCCTGGCTGTACTGGACATCCTGTTGGGCTGGTTAATGCTACTTCTGTGCCTCCTCTCTGGGGTGCATGTGAGTTTGAATGATGCTGTTTTAACCGTTTCCCCTCCTTGGTTTGCTCGCTATATCCAAGTGTTGGCAGCAGCCCTGCTCTCCCTGTCCCTGCAGTCACCCAAGGGCAGTGACCTTCCTCCTCGGCTCTCAGGCCTGCCTGGGCTTCAGAGGGACTTTTCCTCCTGGGTTTTGTGCTCCCCAGGGACTTCTCAGATGCTGAATTTCCCACTGAGTCACTCTGTCGGGTTCATGCAGCAGTTTCGGCTCAGTTGATGAGTAGGGATGCCCATATCTACCTCTCCTTCCCCTCAGGGTGGACCAAATGGTCGGCATTAATGATTTGGGCTTATGCCCACTCTGCCTTCAACCCTGCTCCCCTCCTGGTGTGCGTGGGACTGGGACAGCTGCTGGCTCTGGCTGGAGGGCTCAATTTGCTTTCACCGTCAGGGCAAGGAGCTCAAAGTGGCTGTGACGAGGTATCTTGCACCTCTTCCAGGTCAGGATTTTGGGTGTGTTCTTGCAAGTCTTTTCTCTGTCTGTCCTGGCCCTATTTTGGTTGTTGATGTCCACGTGCCGGTGCAAGAGCAACCCCACTCCTGCACTCTCGCCGCACCCTCACCCCAGGTGCACCCACGGTGCAGAGGCTGCCTCACCTTCATCAGGTCGCGGTGGTGCTCCAGCACACTGCAGGTGGTCTGCCAGGTGTCCTGGTAGCACTCCCAGGGGTCCACCCTGCAGAGAGCACAGCAAGGCAACGGTGTTGGCCAACAGCCACTGCCTGGACCTCCTGGCCATGCCACCTCCTCCCCACTGGGCTGGCCAGCAGTGCCATGAGCAGCCACTATCGCTCCCCCAGTTCTGCCACGGCCTCTGGACATCCAGCTCTCCTTAATAGCTTTGGGGACCTGAATGTGTGCCTGGACACCTTTCCACTCTTGGTACCCAACTAACCAGCTTTCCTTTGGCTTGGATGTAACCACACGTGTTACAACCCTGTTTCCTGAGGCCAGCCCGGAGATGTTTCTGGTCCCACCTTAGCTGCCAGAGGGCACAGGGCAATGCTGGGAAGGGGAGAGTCTGTGGGCTGTTGCTGCAGATGTAGAAAGGGAAGGTGCCACAGCACAAGGCTGGGGTGTGCTGGGTGACTTTGAGCCTCACCCAGACACCACAGACTCAGCGGGGGGCTTGCAAGACCCTCTGAAGCCAAAGGGTCCCCTTGAAGGACGGTGCAACACTCCTCATTGGTTCTCTGCTGGACTAGGAGAGGAAGGCCTCTAGTTTTTAATCAAGGTTTGGCAGGGAGAGGAGAAAGTGCAGCCTCGAGCTCTAGCAGCTCGTGGCATCTCCACTTCATGCATGGGATTTTGCCCCACGGTGCTGGGGAAGTGGCAGGGGCTGCTGGTGTCTGCTGGTGCCGCAGCGGGTGCGGGCTCTGCCACTCACCTGATCCAGTCGGAGGACTGGACGGCCAGTTGGCACATGGTCAGGCGGTGCCGGCTTGAGACCAGACCCTGCAAGAGAGGGAGATTCAGGAACAGTTACAGGAGGCAAGCATCATGCCCCGGCCAGCCTGGGCTCGCAAACCTTCCCAAGGCAGAGCATCAGGCTCGCTCAGATGACACAGGCCAGAAGGATTTGTTCCTGCCCACAAAAATTTATTTAAAGTCCTGTTTGCTGGAGGGGAGGAGTCCCTGCCTTACTTCAGCCCTTGTTACATACCAGTTGGCAAGATTTGCTCAGCACCACCACTCTCAACCCTGTGCTACAGTGGGGTCGGACCTGGGGATGGTGGTTTTCTTGATGAAATTTCTCCAGTTTTCAGAAGAAGAGTAAAATCTCTCCTCAGCTAATTTGGATTTCCCCTGCCACAGAAAGTGCTTTTAAAGGTCCCTATTTGCATTGTTGCCATCCCCACAATAAAATTGGCTTTGAAATCGTTCAAACAAACAAAAAAACCCCAACCCAACAAGATGACCACTACCATTTTGGGTGAGTATGTTTCTCTCTGCTGTCTAGTACATCGGCTGGTTGTAGGGTCTTGCTGCAGTTTTTATCTAAAGAGTGGGTGGTTTAATACTCTCCCTCCTCTTGGAGACATCCCTGTGGTCAGGAGCTGCCCCAGGCAGAGGAGGTCCATGAAAGGACCACAGGTACAGGCAGTGCTGCCTAGCGCTCACCCCTGGCTTCAGACATACCATTGCACATAGGAGGCAGAAAGGGAAAATGCAGGTGACCCACCGTCTTCCCATAGGAGTCGTGCACAGGCGAGACAATGCCACCAATGACAATGAAGCGTCCGGTCTTGTGCAGGTAATCCCGGGCTCGCTCTGAAGGAGGAGGACAAGGAAAAGGGTGCAGGGGGATTCAGCTGGACCCACTGAGCCCTACAATACCCCGCTGCCACCCACCGGCTTTCCCCAAAGCCCATGGAGCAGCTCATGCCAGCTTAGGCAGCACCGGATGGGCAAGGCGACCAAGGGAAGGGCTGGCTTCGTCTTTACTGCTCGTCTCATTCAGTGCTGTCCTTGGTGATGCTGAGCATGGATTTTCCTAGCGATCCCCAAACCTTGTGGGAAGGAGGATTTGGTGGAAGACGGCAAGTCTTTAGCAAAAGCCAAATCACATTCAGACCCTAAATCATCTTCAACCACCTCACCAGGGCACCGGAGGGGCAGCCAAAGCCTGCACCACTGAGAGCTGCTCGGCAGAGATGGGCTCTTTTGTCAGCCCTGGAGGAGGCAGACTGAGCTCACAAGGTGATGCATGAAGCTGGTTCATTCACTGCCTGCAGACAAATCCTTTCCTTTCTATTTTTCCCTGCCCATAAACTATATCCCTTTCTCTCCTCATGAATTCTTCCTTCCTCGCCTGCTACGGTTTGCTGCTGACTACCAGCCAAAAGCTTTCTTAGCAGCTGGAAGGTGGCTGATGGCTCCCCTAACTTCAAGCATCGCTTCTGACAAGGATCCCTTAGATGTGGGCAAGATTAAAAAAAACCAAGGATAATAACAAAACCTGCTGCCTCCGCCACTGCTGGGCTGTGGAGACAACCCCGTAGTTTTATGAGCAGAAAACTTTTTGCCAGCTCATGCATCAGTGGCTGGCCGTAACTCCCTGCAGGAGGATGTCAATACAGACTGGGGGATGGATGGGTTGAAAGCAGCCCTGCTGAGAAGGGGTTACTGGTGGGTGACAAGTTGGACATGAACCAGCAATGTGTGCTCGCAGCCCAGAAAGCCAATCATGTCCTGAGTGCATCACCAGCAGCGTGGCCAGTTGAGGGAGGGGATGCTCCCCTCTACTCCGCTCTGGTGAGACCCCACCTGGAGTACTGCATCCAGCTCTGGGGTCCCCAGCACAAGACAGACATGTGTCTGTCATAGAAGGGCCATGGAAATGGTCAGAGGGCTGGAACACCTCTGCTATGGAGAAAGATTGAGAGAGCTGAGGTTGTTCAGCCTGGAGAAGAGAAAGCTCTGGGGAGACCTTATTGTGGCCTTTCAATATATAAAGCTGGCTTATAAGAAGAATGGAGACTTTTTACCAGGGCCTGTAGTGACAGGACAAGGGGCAACAGTTTTAAATTAAACAAGAGTAGATCTAAGGTAAATATAAGCAAAAAATTTTTTTACAGTAAGTGTGGTGGGATGCTGGAACAGGTTGCCCAGAGAAGTTGTGGATGCCCCACCATTGGAAATGTTGCAGGTCAGGTTGGATAAGTCTTTGAGCAACCTGATGAAAGACATCACTGCCCATGGTGGGGAGGGGTTGGACTAGATGATCTTTGAAGGTCCCTCCGAACCCAAGTTTGTGATTCTAAGATGTGCTGTTGGTTGACAGCCTGAATAAGAATTGCTATCATGCATGGGACTGCATGCATGGGTGATTACCACGGATAGATCCCTGCCACCCCCACTGCAAGACCCACACCTCATGTGCTGCTGTTTTGGAAATGCTGAAGGGTTCACCAGGAGGAGCAGTGCACCAGGACCAAGATGCTCAACCCCATCTGCTCCTCTCTGCTGGAAAGCACTGGGCTGCTGCTGGTGAGATCCCCACCTCTAGCTCTAACCCTGCTTGCTCCCACCTTGCTTGTATTCGCTTGCTCAAGCCCTGTTCACTCCCTGCTTGATCCAACTCATGGACAGCAGCTGCTGGGAACTGCTGCTGCAGGACTAAGTCTTGGCAGAGGAGACACAATATTGGTCTGAGAACACGTCATCACAGCAGGACAGGGGAGAACCCTTCCTGCATGCACTGGAGAATGGGAGGCTCAAATGCCCTGCATGGGGGCTCCTGGGGTCTACCCTGTGTGGTCTTGGACAGACAGATGGAGCCATCCTGTCGGGGAACGGTAGGTCCACTGCAAGAGCAATGGCAGGGCTAGTCATGGCATGGTCCCTGCTGCGGCTGCTGGCCGATCCCCAAAGTCTCACTTGCTTTTGGGCACTTCTCCCCTGCCAGTTTTCCCTTCTTTCCTTGGGCTGGTCCTGGTGCAGCCACCCATCCTGCTTCCCTCCCTGCCTGCAGGCAGGGCTGCCTCAGGATTTGGGCAATTGTGATTATGTCCTCCCCTTCTAGAAACCTCTTTGCTGATGCCTCATAGGGTTGCACCCATCTTTGTCACGGCTCTGCTGCAGTGATGCTGTTATCCACTGATGCATCTGGCTCCCTTGCCTTCAGCCATTTCTCCCTCAACTTCTCTCTGTTCCCTGCTGATACATGGTATTAAACGTCAGCCGCATTGTCCCTGGGGCTTTCCCCAGGTCCCCTTCCTGTGGCACCCAGCACCCATGCCCCAGCTGGTCCCCCAGCAGCCACATGGCTCTTACACCGCTCCCACCCTGTGTCAACACGTTGCCTGTGTCCCACTATGCCAAGAGACTTGCCAGAGTCCCTCCAGCCTGATGCACAGTCTTGGGCTGATATTTCCAAAAGGTGGCATTTGAGGATAAAAATGCTGGTGAAGAGTTGCTAAACTCCTGTGGGCTCCTACGCTGTGTCTGACCTCCCTCTGCCCGCCCAGAGCACACACATTTGTGCCCCAATGCTTCTCTGAAGATGCTCTCAGAGAAGAAAAGAGGGTTTCTCACCAACACTCAGGATGGAAAGTCCCATTTTTTCATGCTGCAACAACAATACCTCCTGCCCCCCAAGCTTTTGTAGCTGTATGACCCACCCCCTTTACTTGAGTTCTCCCACTGGGTGCATTGCAACCACCTTGTCCCCCAGGCAGACTGTGCCTGTGCATGAACCACGGCACTGCCGGGGGGTTGCAGCCCAACAGAAAGCGAGGAGGAAGAGGCTGGGAGGTGCGAGTGTGGGGCAGGTTGTTGTTGGTGGTGGTGCTGGCCCTGCCACCTCTGCCAAGCATGGGGAGGGCTGTTGGGGAGTGCACAGTGCAGCACTGCCCGCCCCAGCTATTGAGATGGTAGAAAGAAAAAAAAGATAAAAAAGGTAAAAGCAAAAAAGGAGACAAGATCAATGAGTCACTAGAAAGCGCTTTTTTTTTTTTTTGCAAGTGGAGGATCTAGAAAAATATTTTGCGTTTGCGAAGAAAACAAGCATTTTTGAAGCTAAGGTGACTTCAGGATCCATCAGCCACCCCAAGATGTCACTACACATCGTATCCTACAGCCACCCTGCTCCAGCCACCAGCGTTCCCCCAGGGGACGGGGAGCAGCCCTGCCTGAAAGGCTGGTGCCCTCCCATGCAGCAGCTACAGGGAGACACTTGCAGGGAACCTTCCTCCTCACTGTCACCTGCACCCAGCCCCAGCTGGCACCCACTAAAGCTGATGCGAAGCTCTCCAGTCTGCATGGGATGGCTCCTGCTTCCCTTAGTGGTATAGCTGCATTATTACTTGGAAATAAGCAGCAAAGCTAGCTCTTGCCATCTGGGGAAGTTTTCCCATCCTGGCCCTTCAGCGTGGCATCAGCTGTTGGGGCAGGGGACCCACCCTACAAACCCATCTTTGCCAAAGCAGCCACGTTCCTGCTTCCCCTCCAAAAGAAACTTTCCCAGAGAGAAATAGGGAAGGAGAACACTCAGTGTTTGCTGGATGCAAGTATGGTCATGATGAGCACAAAGAACATGAGCAGACAGGGGATCCTGCTGCATCTTCTGGAGCTGCTGCAGTGAACTGGGGCTCCTGGGCTTTTAGTGGCAACAGAAACACCTCATTGTCCTGCTGCTGGTTGAAACTTAGCCATGGGCTTGTTCATGCCTGCCAGCACCATGAGGGTAACACCGGTTGGATTTGAGCATGTGGGAGCGGTGGCTGAGCCCTGGGCCACAGCTTGGCACAACAGGCAGGTGAGAGCACAGCCTGGCAGGTCCAGATGTGGGGAAAGGGTCTTTTCCACAGATACATCGATGGGTATGCTTTTCCTGCATGTTTCCCAGTCAAATTATCTTCTCTGGGTGGTGTGGATGGGATTGTGCTGTTTAGGAAAGGACAGTTCTCCCAGCGATGCACCTCTTCAGCTCCTGTGCCCTCGCTCCTGCTCTGCTTCAGGACAAAAATTCATCCCTAAGATTATTTTAGAGCTCCCTTGCAATAGCTTGGGATGGATGAAGACTGCTTGTATGTCAAGGGAGGCGAGAGGGGCTAAGCAGGGAAGGGAAGTAGGGATGTCGCTGAAGAACCACTTGGACAAAATTTTTTTCCTCCAAATTTTGAAATTTCTACTAGCTATCAGGTCAGTTAAAAGTCAATTAAGGAACTATAATTGCCATGGACTTTTTTTCCCCGCTTGAGGGCATTGAGCAGCCCCAGGCCCCTGTGACAGCCTGTGGGAGGTTTGCCAGCCTCAATAAAACCTCTTCCTCAGACTCACCCAAAATCCTTTCCCTGGCTTCCTTCCCAGCTCTTGTGTCCTGGGTGTGCCAGCCCCCAGAGAGAGAAAAACACACTTAAATCATTCGATCGGTGCAGGAAGTAAAATTCAATTGCCTGGATTAGATGTACTGAAAGTTTCCCTCCCTGCCCTCAAAATCCTGAGCAAAAAGGGGTTAACACTGGCAGTTTAGTTTGAACCATACTTTTTCATCTTTGCTCATTGTTTATCTGCAGGGAACTGTGTGGGAGCATCTCCATCGGCCAGCGGGTTTCACCGGGGCAGCGAGGGAACGGAACCTAGCTCTGTGCATGACTATGGCTATCTGTGCTCCAAGTGGTACCCAGCAAAGCACCCTATGGGGGAGCACACACAGAAAAATACAATATTCTTGGGTGGTTTTTTTTTCCCATGAGCAAGGGGGTTTGAGGTTGAACCGGCATCATAAATTAAAGCACAAAACTCCATGGGTGGTGGGATTCCCTTTG